ATGTTCGGTTCATTTCAGTCAATCTTAAGCTATCTTACCACGAAACTTGACATCGAGACACCAAGTTCGTATCTCTACACTTGCTGTATATTGATCGATATCTGTTTACAGGTGAGTCACGACGAGCATCTGATATCGGGAAGTGTTGAGGAGCTGTGGGCAGTGTCAGATGGTAAAGTAAATCCATTCCATGGCACATTCCAAGATTACAAGAAGATACTGCAGTCCTCGTAGAGGCACTTAGCGGTTGGTTTGAAATGAAACTGGGTTCCATCTGGTTGTTGGATAGCTTTAATATAAAATCTGTGCGCTTTAAGAGTTTCAACAGTTGTGGAATTTTATATATGTATACACACAGAGGCATGAAGTTTTCCAGGAGAATATGCCATTTTGAAAGTGTAACTTACCTTTACTGATCATTGGCAGTTCAATATATGTTCTTTCTCTTAGGTTTTTTTTTTTTTTTTTTTTTTTTTTTTTTTTTTTTTTTTTTTTTTTTTTTTTTTTTTTTTTTTTTTTTTTTTTTTTTTTTTTTTTTTTTTTTTTTTTTTTTTTTTTTTTTTTTTTTTTTTTTTTTTTTTTTTTTTTTTTTTTTTTTTTTTTTTTTTTTTTTTTTTTCTGTTAATGATCGCTTTTTAATTTACGAAGAAATCGAGCTCCGCTTTCTTGTTTTTCTTTATCGTTTCTACTTCAAATAGAGTAGGAAAGTTCAAGGAGTTTAGCTTGTACTTTGACTCAGTGAAAAAGGTATATTGTTGAATCTAATGTCAAGGTGTATTGTTAAAACTTATGATAAGTATATCTTCGGATACTTTCGAGATTAGGTAATGAAGCAATGAATCAAAATTAGAATTGCCCTTTAACTTCTCGATGCCTGAGAAATAAAAGCATTCCGCTGGCATGTGGTCGTGTAATTCTGATTGGCATGGTCTTAAATAATGTTTGTTGTTCAGGAGAGGGACTTCTACCTGCAAGCTTCAGTGTAATTGCAATATCCATGAATTTCATCCATTGTTCTCTCTCTCTCTCTCTCTCGCTTTAACGGACTCCTTCTGGTAATGTTTTGTCTTTAGGAGAGGTGGAGAGGAAGGAAATAAATTATTGGGATTTAAAAGAAAATGAAATTGTTATTAAAATATATTCATTCTCTATTTGGTTTGTTAGTTGAGTTACTTCCTCTAAATTCCAAAACCCAAAGACTTGGAAGTGGAGGGAACCATCAGCGAACTATATATTTGATTTCAGCGATGAAAGAGCCCACTTTTGCTAATTGTGGCGGGAGAATGCCGTAAGAGTCCCTGCTCATCCAAACCCAATTCCATTTTTTATCTATCAACGAGGGGAAAATCCTTTCTCAATCGACGCTACTTGTGTTGTGCTTCAATTTGATCGCCTTCAGGTTCTGGAGCGGTCTCTCAACTCCAAATGAGGTACTTTTTTTCTCTTCAAGTTTGGTGGGATTTCGCGCTTTTGTTCTAGGGCATCTCCCTATGCTGTTTTTTTTCCTTTCGAATTTTCATTATGGGGTTTTGAGTGTAATTAATGTTTTGTTTGGTCTTCAGGTTTGGATCCTGAGAACTGGTTTCGATTATCAATAGTGGAGTGTTATTGAAATTACTTAATCGTTTGATTTGAAATGGCGGAAGTTTTCGACGACGAAACCGAACAAACGATTTCTATTCAGGAGTATCTGAAGGAAGTTGAGGAACAGGAGCTGGTAACTCTCTCTCTTCTCCTCTTTCAATTTCGATGTCTGAGTATTGGTTGGTTTTCCAAAATTTTAGCGACATAATGGCTTGGAAACGTACTGGGTTTTCTATAATTTAGGGTTCATGGCCGCAAAACTTTCAAAATTCTTAAAATCGATTGGAGCGTCCAATTTCTTGTAAGTCGATCTCCTGTCGCGACGTTTTGTGTGTGTCCGTAGTGTTAGTAGAGGATAGTCAGATCACCTGTATTGTTCTAAATTTTCCAATTAGCGGAGGTCATTTGGGCTTTCTACAGAGAATATGATACAAACTCTAATGTCTTCTCTTCTTGTTTCTGTATCTTCATTTTGGGTGCACGGTATCTGATTATTATTATTATTATCATTTTATTGATCAAGGAAGCGGATTTAGTTTTGGGAGGCGACGAAGGAAAGGAATGTACTTACAGCAAGGGTTATATGAAGAGACAAGCCATTTTCTCATGTCTAACTTGTACCCCTGATGGAAATGCTGGAGTTTGCACAGCCTGTAGCTTGTCATGCCATGATGGACATGAGGTATACATGTTCTTAGAATGAACTCTGTTTAGATATGCAGGGGTTTACGTGTTTTTTTTTTTGTCCAGTTTATGGTGGCAACTATTGATACCATGGCTCAGATTGCTTTTAAGCAGCATGATCCATATGATATAAAAGATGTACTTTTTTACCATATTTAACTGATCCCTTTTTTGACACCTGAGTATTTGTTGAAGATCCAGCTTGTTGTATGTGGTTCTGTAACAGCTCAAGCCCACTGCTAGCAGATATTGTCCTCTTTGTGTTTTCCCGTTTGGGCTTTTCCTCAAGGTTTTTAAAACGTGTATACTAGAGAGAGATTTCCACACCCTTATAAGGAATACTTCGTTACCCTCTCCAACCAATGTGGGACCTCACAATCTACCCCCTTGGGGGCCAGCGTCCTAGTATATCGCTCTGATACCATTTGTAACAGTCCAAGCACACCGCTAGTATATATTATCCTTTTTTAGCTTTCTCTTTTGGGCTCCTCTCAAGGTTTCTAAAATGCGTCTACTAGGGAGAGATTTTCACATTCTTATAAGGAATGCTTCGTTCCCCTCTCCAACGACGTGGGACCTCACAGGTTTTGCTTATGCGAAAACATTTAGGGTATTTGTCATGTTGTAAATTTAGGTTATTGATTCAGGAACACGTTTACTTGCCGATTGTCAATAATTATTTCGATGATGTTAAACTCTCCAAGTATTTGGCTTCTTAACGCCCCCGCCTCCGCCCCATTTTTATTGTGATCATTGTTCTCTTGGGCCAGATTGTGGAATTATGGACCAAAAGAAACTTCAGGTGCGACTGTGGAAATTCAAAATTTGGAGATTTCATCTGCAAGCTGTTCTCGAACAAAGACGTAGAAAATGCCAACAACTCATATAATCATAATTTTAAAGGATCGTACTGCATATGCAATCGCCCTTATCCTGATCCAGATGTTGAAGAGCAGGTGGAGATGATTCAGTGCTGTATGTGTGAGGATTGGTTCCATGAGGAACATCTTGGTCTCAGTTCCATAGATGAGGTGTGTTAGCACAAAAGCCTTCCATGGGTTTTCAATTATTTTGTCTCGTTTCTCCATTTTTGTTGTTTTACAATGTTTTGTTGCTTATCATTAAAAGAGTCGAGAGATTTGATGAACCTTGAAATAACCTGGACTTCATTGTACTTGTTCGTTCTGCAGATTCCAAGAGACGAAGAAGGGGAGCCCCTATACGAGGACTTTATATGCCCAGCGTGTTCGGCAATTTGTTCTTTCCTGATTCAATATCCTTCATCTATTTGGGCTGTGGGAAGGCACTCTGCTGGAAAGGACAGCTTGCTTAGTGAACTTCCTGAGAATAATTCTGGTTCTAAGGAATCTGTTAAAGATAACACTCAAACTGATAGTTGTGTGCTTGAAACCTCTTCATCTGCTTCCATAACTGCTGAAAACAAGCCAATGTTTCTTTCAAAGAACTGGAGGGGTGCATTGTGCAGATGTGAAAAATGCATCAATAATTACAAGCTGAAGAACATTAGTTTCTTGGTAGATGAAGAGGACTCCATTGCTGAGTATGAGAAAATAGCAAAGCAGAAGAGGGAAGAGAAGTTACAGGAACAAGAGGGTGCCGAGTTAAAGCTGTTTGATAACCTGGGGCATGTGGAGAAGATTGAGATTCTAAATGGCATTGCAGATATGAAGGATGAGATTCGTACATTCATGGTATTCACTCATTATATGTTTGCTTTGCTTGTGTTCCTATTTTCCTTGGTTATATGATTTGTTCTACGTTGCAGGAATCGTTCGACTCGTCGAAGCCGATTACGTCTGCAGATATCCACCAGGTATTTGAAAATCTAGCTAAAAAGAGACGTCGTACTGAATGAAATTTCTTAGGAGCAGCAATAACTACTACAGCGGATGGTCTAGGATTTCTCAAGTAAGCAGTCCTGAGTCCTGGCTAATCGAATATACGCCGTGGGCTGGTTTCTTTAGACTGTTAACTATGAAACATAATTTACTTTGACATCTAGATTATGCTTTCAGAAATGGCTTGTTTTTTAAACCTTGTTGGCTACCGGAGGCGTCGAACTTTTTTTGTGACATGCTATGTTTTCTCCCCCGTCACTAGTAGGTTGATGGGTGAACCATCACCATGGTTTTAGCTGTAAATTTAACTTAGGTTCGGACTTGTTTCTAATATATGCTAGACCTATTTCCGACATAATGCTGTCCATTCTCTGTACATGTAGCCTCGTTTTCTTGTAGATATTACTTTGTCTTAGTTCGATAGATCTTCTCCACCGATAGATTGTTTATGTATTGTTGTATCTCAATTCAAATTTAGTCTTTAGTTAGTCAAGAAGGAAAATCTTTTGTTCTTCTAAATTGATCCGGGCTAACCTAAAACAATAAAATGAACCAATGATCAACTCTCTTTAAGAGAAACGATATAATCTTATAATCTTATCATTTATATTGAAGTTTTTAATATATTTTAAAATTTTAAGAACGTAAACCTAACCTTTTACAAAATTCTTATCATATTTAGAATTTTATATTTAAAGGACACCAGCATAATTTAAATCTGTGTCTTTATATTTAAAACTAAAGGCACTTTTTATTATTATTATTTTTTTTTGGTTGCTTTAAATGTGGCCCTTGAATCATAGTATGATCATGATTAGATGATCTCACACACAGCCAAATCCTCCAATACTTGATGGGTCCAATGATTAAATATAAGTATAAAGAGAGCACTTAACTTGGCTTATTATATGTCACAACCAACATTAAATTAAAACCTAAAAAAAACTATATATTATACACAAAATAAAGCTAAAAACTATATATTATATTTGTAAACCTAAATATATTCATTCCCTCCACTACCTACCTACCTTCTTCCTGCTTTTTGTCTACCTACCATCTACCAATATATATTTATATTTATTTTTTGAGGTATTTAATTTTTAATTTTTTTTTTTAATAAACTAAATTATTCCAAGGCATTGTTTGGATTAAAAACGAGTTTTGAATTTGTGTTGACCATGATCTCCGACGCGGACCAGAGACGGGCTGCTTCCGTCAGACTAGCGGCGAGTTTCGACGGTGAGGCTTCGTTGCAGTCGGCGAAGTATTTTCCGGTGACGTTGCTCAGTCTTGGGTTTGCCGCCACGTAGCATGTGGTTGCCGCTGCCTGTAAAAGACGAGAACAACATCAAAACATAAGCCCTCGTGACTTTTTGCTTTGGACTTTTTCAAAAAGTTTCATGTCAATGAAGATGTATTTATTTACTTATAAACTTACGATCGTTCCCTAAATTAGCCAATGTGGGACTCACTCCTAACAACGACTCCGGTAGACAGTAGAAGAAGGAAAACTTATAATTTAATCAAAATTGTTAAGAGGTTTAGGTTGGTTACCTGAGGGATTGTCTTCAACAGTTTAGAAGTTATAAAGAACACCAAATCTGCAAAATAAATAAATAAATAAATAAATACATAAAATTAATTAATTTTAATAAATAATAAAAGGAAAAATTAAAGAAAATTGTTACCTGTAATGAAACCTTCACGATCTCTAGTGAGTCGAGTTCTAACGATTCCCGGATGAACGCAATTCACAGTAACATTAGCTCCCATTTTCTAAATTAAAATAATAAAAAATTAATTAACCAAATTCATGCTTGAATTCTTAAATTATAATTTTTAATTTTGTATAACAAATTTTAAATTAAAACTTTTTTTTTTATTTTTAGAATTACTTTTTCATTAAGAAAATTAATAACGAAAAGAATCAATAATAATGATTAATGCAAATTAAAAAAAAAAAAAAAAAAAAAAAAAAAAAAAAAAAAAAAAAAA